ACCAAGGAAACCACAGTGTAAAACCACTAACTAGAATTTTATTAAAATATACTATATACTCAAAAATTAAATTCATAAGCGCTTGAGCGCATAAGCTGGTCTTGGGGCTCAGGGAATAACAGGTATTGGGATGCGTGATGATGTCACGAATGTCGGCTCCGCCCTATGCGTTCTAAGCCTCATTCTAAGTCAGTGTAAAACCAAGCGTCAACTTCGCACATTGGCTGATTTTTATGTTTACAGCTGGGCCCATGAAAAATTGAGGCTCCGTTTTACACTGACTCAGAATGAGGCTTGGATCAGAAACTGTCTCCATCTTATTTCTTGTTTCCCCTTGTTTGTTTTTCATAAATTAAGCATGATGACTGAGCATGGCCTCCATACCCTGGAAGACATCAGATGTGACAAAATGTGTAGGGCGTAGTGAACATTACTGGCATCATCACGTATACCAATACCTGGAAGCAGCCCGGTCTGAACCCCAGGACTAGCTATATTACATTACAAGCGCTTATGACGTTAATTTTGTGAGCATATGTATATTTTAATAAAATTCTAGATAGCGGTTTTACACTTCGTGGCTTCCTTGGTTCTTTCCCTATGATATGGTGGATGATTGAACAACCATACAAGAAGAGGGTCATGCTATCCTGTGTGGGACATATACAGGCATATTTTGACATCTCTTATCTAGAGAGATAATATATTCAGGTAAGCGTGTGTGCAGACCATGTGGTGGTGGAACACTAAAGTTGGGTAATTAAAAGAGGAAGAGCAATATGAAGACACCATTGAAGTCACTCCTTATATTTTTGGGACTTTGTGTTTATGCATCTGATTTTATGGACTCACTTATGCACGTATATATAGTGCTGCACTTTTTTATGCTTGCAAAATGTATTCTGCTACATGTCTTTGGTTAAAAAAAAAAAAAAAAGTTGCTAGTGACACTAACACAGTGATCAGAAATACTACTGTACTAATGACGCTGACTAGGAAGGGGTTAACATCAAAGTTCATTCAAGGAGTTAACTGTACCTAACAACTTGCAATGTATATTGCTTTTACTCACAGATCTGGCTGTTTTTTTTTTTTTTTTTGCCTGCTTTTCAGGGAGAAGACAGAGACAGATTGCTCCTCTGTTTACACAGAGTTCTGTGTGTTTGCTTGGACACAGCAGATCAGCAGGTTTCAGACAAAATAATTAGCTGAAACCTGTTGATAAACACATGCTGTGTCCAATCACTGGTCAGCACTGAAGCAAGGTGGTGACATAAGGGTACATAGCCTAACCTGGCTGAGCCACCCGCCACCACTAGTACATGTACTGTGGGTGGGCAGCAAGTGATTGACAACATTCCCTCCCAGGCCAAATATTGGGAACCAGCCCTCAGCCTTGGAAAATGTTCTCTCTTAAACTGTTACTAGCGAGACCCCAATCTGTACCAGTTTCCTTTCCATTCTGAGGTCACATATATGCTCTATTGAAGGCCCATCATTGCCAATTTCTGGTTTCTACTCCTACTGCACCCTCTCTGATGATATGGCCTGATTGTATGTACTTCATAATCTACCCATTCAAAACTTTGTCAGCCCAGGTCTAGAGATGTTTGATACCCCCAACCTATTGTTATCTATGCTTATGCACTCTAATTACACTGGTTAGATTTATAACTTATGTTTAAACTAATGCCAAATTGCATATGATTGTATTAATAAAGTGAACACAGCTTCACCTTATCCATTAAGCTAAGAGAACATTCATTTTATTTAGTAAATCAGTAAATGTATCTAAAATAGTGATTTCAGACACCAGTTTGGTGAATAAAACTAGCTAAAGTTCTTTTATTTAATTTTTTTACTGTCTTTAGTTCCAGAGCTATTTAATCAAATGCCTAGTATGCTCTATCCCAGCTCTAAGGACGTGTAATGCAATGCAGCAAAAGGTTAAAGGTCACAAGAAAACACTGCCTGACTGCCACAGCCTGCAGGTATTTCTCAATACATATTCAGTTGTAGCTCATAGTAGTCACTTATTATTTATATAGATATATATTAAAACCTTTAATCTGTCACTGAAGCATTACAGCACAAAGGAAAACCCATAATAATATGCAGCTCATTCTATACTGCGTCCTAAAATGACCTCTACAATAATACATGGACTGCTGAGTTTCTTTCACATTTCACAATCCTGTTTCAACGCAGTAGATTTATTTTGTTCCAGCAGCCTTGGACAGCCCAACAAGAACATACATATCATGTACACCAAAGATTATTACAAGCAGCTGGCTGTGATTTAGCGGTGCAACATGGTGTAATTCAGGTCAGCTGCAACAATGGTGAAATGACTGGAGAAATGTACATGTACTTTAGTACCAGCATTATTCTGTGATTTACTTTCTGGAACATTTATTGTAGGACTCATTGCAGCAACTTCTCAGAACTGAAAACAACCCTGTTCTAAGCTTTTATGGTAGATGCTTGCATGTAGTGTTATTTTATTGCACAGACACAGGGCACTGCAGAAAAATATCGGAAACAGCTATACTTCCAACAAGCTAATTTTATTTTGCTAGACGGTTTTTTTTTTTGTTATGGATCACACACACACACACACACACACACACACACACACACACACACACACACACACACACACACACACACACACTATATAACAGAGAATCCACGTATTACATATAAAAACCCCAACAACAAGCTCTGTAGATTAGATAGGCAATTCTGGCCCCTCCCCCTGCTGACTGCCCTCATAGTAAGCTGCTTGTTGTGGGGGCACTCATGTGTGCTTGCTCCTGAGCCAGCTGTGTGTGTATCCATAAGACACAAAGCCTAGCTTGGCCTTGCCCCCCACTCCCTCCTCATTGGCTGTGATTGACAGAAGTGGGAAGCATTGGCTGTCTGAGCCAATTAGAAGGGAGAGAGCTGAGAGAACCTCTGCTCTTCTGCACACTGCTGATTTGAGACAAGGCTCAGGTGTTTATAAGGGGGGAGCTGGAGGCTCTATGCAGAAGTTTTCTTTTTAACTTACTGAAGAGAATGCATTAGGGTAAAAATACCTTCTGCCTTTAGAACCACTTTAACCTCTGGCTCTAAAGGTTTATGTGACTACAACATAATTTTTCATAAGAATGACAAGCACAGTCTGTCAAATGTATATATTGTTCAGAAAGTATCTAATCATCATCATGAGCTGAAGCTTTAAAATGTGCATGTTTTCATAAAGTGGATCAGTATGTCTGCACAGTACATTTAAAAATAGACCATGGGCTGTCAAAGGCTGGGGGCCTCTCAAAGAAATGGGGACTATAATGATGTGTATATTCTTTAGCTTATAAAATCTACATCATATTTGTCAATCTTTATGTTGCTTCTACAAAGGAACAGCAAAATATGTAGCATAGGTAATAAAATCTATGCACAGCAAATTGTAAACAGACTCATAATTGCATATCTGGCTAACTTACGAAGCACATTTGTTAGGATATCCAGACACGCAAGCTTAAGTCTGGTCCAATAACTTTATTTTCAAATTTTCCAAACAAGTCAAACATAGGAGCCCCTAAAGGTAGTCTTATATGGTGCTTGTAGATTTTAAAAGCATGATCTGACATGTAGGCATGACCCAACCTCCCTTCAGTAATTCTGGTCCCTGTTTTTTGACACATACATACAGGCTCTAAGCTTAAAACAACTCCCACTTCCCTCCTAATGCCTATTCTAATCACCTTGTAGAAACGAAAATTCTTATACTTACCTATTCTTAGAGCACTCCAGTCATGAAATCTTCCCAGTGGCCGGCTTCAGGGACAGCTGACAACGGAAGCCCCATATTAAGTCTATGGGAGATGTCACCACCCAGGCATTCCATCTGTTGGATGCACTCTCTTCTTTTCCCTGAAGCCAGCCCCTGGGCAGATCATGTGACTGGACCAGAGCACTCTTTGAATAGGCAAGTATAAGCATTTACCAACAAAAGTATATGGTGCACAACAGAAATGTTATATACACGAGAGGATATGTCCCCTAAAAGGTAAATTATATATGAAACCATATGTGGGGGTAGAGGGAGCTAGTCCACAAGGAATGGAAGACTAAAAGTCATACCAGACCATGGAGAGTTCGTAGGCGTCCATTCAGTAGACTGTGCACTTGTATAGTCAGCTCCACCAAAGACAGGAATGATCTCTATGAAACAACAAACTCAGGGGGATGTGCCAGTTAAGTGCAGCATAAAAGGACACCTTTATTAATAAAGCCAAATTCAAACTCACATGTCACAGTATGCAATGCGCTTGTCAAGGATCATAAGTAGGAATCTATCCACCCAGGAAGTCTCTCTCAGCAAAAGCCAGAAGTAGTGTCATCAGGAACCAGTGACATAGCCAACCCAGAAAGTCTATGAAACCACCCTGGAATGTGGAACCAGAAGTGATTTCACGAGGGTGGTTCTGTATTCCTGGATTTGGATTTATTAACAAAAGGCATCCTTTTATGCTGCACTTAGTTGGCGCCCCCCATGTTTGTTTTGAGTATAGGCATTTTCCTTCTATAGCAGGGATCACTAAATGATGGACTGTCGTCCAGGCCCAGACCAAGTGACAGACCTGTCTAAACCGTGGCCATTCCACTTAGTAGCTCAGTGTCCCACCCAGCCGCCATTCTCATAGAGTAGGGGGCACTACAGATCTGCACAGAAGATCGCAGTCTGTTCAAATTAACAAGCGGATATTCACCAGCTTGTTAACAGAATACGTTTAATTTTTTTTTATTAGTTAGAGCCACTATAGCAACTAAAATGTATACAATTTAATTTTTATTTGCTTAATTTTGTTCATTTTGGTTTTACTAAAATACTGCTAGTATGGTTGCCAAACAGTTTTGGTGACCATCGTGCCTAGTGTTAGATAATCAGAAAAACTTGCTCTTGCAGTTGTGGTACAGACCTTTCAGAGACTCTTGTTGCTGCATTAACTCACCTCAACCTCTGCTACAGTTGGCTCTTTATTGAAACACATGTTCATGACGTTCCTTGCTGTTCGGAAGAAGGTGGTGAGAGACATGGACCTTCCCTGTAGATAAGATAGATTGTGAATAAGATCCACAGGCATTAAACCTGCTGCTACAGCTATTTCAGTGAACTCATTCTTAGAATACATGTCAAATCACTGTGCTCCATAGAGCTTTCATTTCATAACTTTTTCTCCTTAAGGCTGAACTAAGCCTTCTGGTCACTCTTGCTCATAAACAAACAAGCTCCTCTCTTGTACTGAAACTGCTCACTTAATTTCACTGCATATTGTTTGCTTCCAACAGTGTATATTATAATCTAGTCAGAAACAGCCATTTTAGGGCCCACCACTTTCTTTAATTGGATTTTAGATATGTCAATCATGGAGGCCCAATGTGACATGTGCATGCTTACCCAAGGCATACCAATGCAACATCTACGCGGCCGCCCACAAGCCCACTTATCAAGTTTGCTATTTGAATAACTGCTCCCTAGAGCCAACCCAATACTTGTAACAGGGTTCTGGGATCTTGAGAAGAGTACTAAGGCAGGGTGCTGTGATGCTTCTAGGAGACTACAGATAGCCCCCTGCTGTCACCTCTCAACAGCCATGTTCTGACTGGATTACAAAGAGAAGCACAGACAAGTGACGTCATCAGTGCAAACTGAAAGGTTTTGTTAAAAATGTTTTTGGCATGTTCGCAGGGGGAGGGGTTGTGAGAAACTGTAGAAGGCAAAATATATGCAAAATAGATTTCAGTTATATCATCGTTGCCATACTCTACCAACATAATTTCATGAGAGACAACTAAAGTTTAGAGTAAAATATATTGAACAGACCTTATTCTGAGAAGGCATGTTGACTTGTCTGATTCAGCGACTTAGAAAGTACTGAAGGCAAAGGATCAGCCTGACAGCCAGGGACACTAGCAGCCTACAAATTTCCCCAATAGAATTTTCCTTTAACCTTTCTGTGACCAGAGGTCATTGAAGCATGATACCCAAGACCAAATTTAGCCACATCAGTTAACTTCACTATAACCCTATGACTAATTTGTCAATTTCACAGGGGGTTGAGTGAAAACTAGAAACATGCATAGGTGCACATACCTAGTTCTCTGCTACATCGTTAATACATGTGTTTACCTAAAACGTATTTACTTACACATGTGGGTGCATTTATTTATTTTTTGCAAATGGAGGACTTATCCTTTAAGCACCATTTGCTGTGCTTAGTGAAAACAATGTACCTTCCTTCAATAAGCTAAGCATATCACAGATGTTGAAATCCATATTTTGTACAATAACTACCATATTACATCTAATACTCAAGTACATATATTGTATGCTGTAAAATGTATTCCTTACCGATTTTTATAAAGCCCAACCCTATCCTTTAATTTTAGCTTGTTTCCATTGCTACACGGAATCCAATAAATCAATTCAAAGCTTCTTAATATATGCTTTTTGCCTATTGTGACATTTATTGCTGTAATTTTATGGGAAATTCCTATTTGAAATAATTCCAAGCATTTGTACACTGAAGTAATTGACAGACACTAAGGAGAATGTACATTGTGATCGCTTGAACCTGACTTACCTTGTAGATGCACTTGTGCAGGTCACCAAGTAAACTTTTATCTTCGGGTTCCTCCTCTGTATATTCTTTTTCCAGAGTAAACAGTCTCCGCCTGCCATTTTTTGGAGGAACATCCATTTCTTTCAGCTTTCCACGTAGGCCATTGCGGTGTACAACTCCATTAATTAATCCATTTTTGGGCTCATATCTAGGGAGCAAATGTAACCTATAAGCATTTTCTGCCTGCCCCTCCAGTGGACCTTTCTTCTTTTCCAGGTTTTCTTTCTCCTGCAGAACTTCTTTCTCCAGTTTCTTGTGCTCCTCGGGGGAAAGGGAGTCATACGAGAGCAGGTATTGACAGTAAGCCTCTTGCAGTTTTGCCAGTCTGTCCTGTGCAGTTTTCGGGATGCGAAGCATGTCTGCCAGTTTGTTCCATTTCTTGAGGTCTGTCACTTGCTGCATGCCACCCATGTCATTAATGAGTTGGAAAAACTGTGCCAGATCTAGCTCACAGCCTCCTGTGCAGAGGTTGCGAGGGAAACAAAAGAAAAATTAGAAACTTGCAATGGAAACATTTTAACAGCAACATAAGTTTTGGATGCTTTTCTAGTGATTGTACAAATTGTAGCTTACGTGGGGATGACAATTGCACACGTTTGCCCCAAATCTACTTTTAAGTTTCCAACAGAGTGGTAAGTGTTTTTTTGTTTGTGTTATCATTGAGGCACCTACCCTCACTTTTATGTGATCTCTCTAATGTAGGCAAAGACACAGACAAGAATACAATTATTTAGCAAAGTGATGAAGGATTAGAACCACTGTTGTATTTTTATTGGCCTTTTGTGCTAGTGGAACCTGCACTTCTCACTCCTCATCTTGGTTTCACTGGGACAGGAAGTGTTGTGAAAACTCTCAATGAGGACAAAAACAATGTTGGCTGGAGTGGGGCTTTAAAAAAAATAGAGGTTGCTACTTCATGATGCGCCATTACATTTTGGTAAATCTTTATTCCTCAACATCCTTCATTTAAAAAAAAAGAAACAAATACAACACAACCATAAAAAAGTATCATTCATCTCTCAGGATGGAGGGATGGAGAAATGTAGCTCCAACTGATAAATGGTTCCAAAGCGGTCCAAAGTAATTTGAATTTGGATTGTTCTTTAAGCCTTGTATTGACTAAAGTATTTTTCTTGTGGTATGGATTGCTGAATACAATCTGTTCTAAAGAAGCATGCATGCGAATTGTGTATGGAGCATTATTAAACACTGTAGCACACATTAAGTGCAATTCTCCACTTTACCGCAAATTACCACAAAAATGGTTAAAAACAAAAGGATTCTCACAACAACAAAGCTAAGGTCAGGATTACTGGGGAGACACAGGGAATGTCTGAAAATCCAAGGTTTACACGGTCTAATGTAGGATGTGCACAAGAAGGCAACATGATGCAAAATAATTTGTTTCCCAGAGGTTCTGGCTTAATTATTTCGACTTACCAAATGTTGTTGACTAACATTAGGACTAACCTTGGCCGTTGCCCATTTACCTCTTGCAGATACCAATACATTGCTGGAAACCCATTCTCAGAGATGCATGCTGGTATCTCCCCCACACCTTAAGCGGCAGAGATCAAGATACGCTGCTCAGGACACACTCTGGACTTCACTGCACTGATGGGTACTTCACTTTTCAATTAGTCCCAGTTCAGCAAGGTCAAACTTATAATACATAACTCCCATTCTGTCTCAATGGCAGCATGGTGGTGATGTATTAATAATTAGGCATTGAAATGATAAAATGAAGAGCTGAATTCTGAACGCAGAGGCATAATGGGGCTCTTCTGGCCCAGTCTTCTTTCAGGACAAAGCGCTGTGAAAGATTCTTGAATGCCTAGTAGGCACATCGCCACAAAGAAACAGAGAGAAATCAGTTTTTTTTAAATAGTCTTTAAAACATTTGTGGTTTTTTAGGAAACTCCACATATGTACTTAGGGTTGTCACAAGTGAGGAGACAGCCACAGGATTAAATCCCAAGGCCAAACATTCTGAAAAAGGGACCTGATCCCCTATATGGAATAAAATGATTCCACCATAACAACTGAATCTAGAATTCAAACAGCTTTAAGAAATAAAAACTAAATCCTGCCTCCCTCCACCCCCAACCCATTATCTTCTCTATTCTATCGCACTTTGTGTGCCGAGTTCAAGATCTACATCACTTAAACCCAAAAAAACTTGTGACAACCCTTACTATATACATATATATCTGCAAGATATATGCATGGTAATGTCAGCACACAGAAGGACAATCTGACTTTAAGTTCTGTTTTTGCACATTTTAAAACAGCAGTATTTACAGTAGCTACAGAATTTGAAAAGAACATTTGTAAAATCCTTCAAGTCAAACGCTGTAAACATGTTCTTCTTTCTTCAACATCACTGCTGTCTTAATTTAAAGTGTTACTAAACCCACAACAGTAAAATCAGTCTGTATATGCAGTAACGCATGCCTACTATACTCACTGTGGAACCTAAGGGGTTAGTTCTTATCAATGTGTAAAAAGGATGTTTGATCCTGTCTTCTCTTATCCTCCCCTTCTTCTAATATCCCCAATCCATCTCCCGATAGAACAGAGCCTTAGGGGCAAACGGCACATGCTCGGTTTGATGTGTATTGCTAGAGTTTTTTTTCTTCGAAGGGTACATGTGATCGGCACAAGGCCAATCTGTCCAGACAGATGGAAAGGGGTCATACAGCCTCATACGACAATCAGGGGAGAATGAGAACACCTCCAACAAAACTTTAACCAGTGCACTGCTGGACACTGATAGAAGTCAGAAGACTGCTCTAACTGGTGATGAGAAAAGGTATTTAGCAGTTTATATTTACTAAAATAATTGCATTTCAATGTTCTGTGTACTGTGTGAGAACAGATATAGTGAACACAGGGTCCTGAGTTTAGTAACACGTTAAGTAATTTATGTAAGGAATACTTTAAGGTCTTTGCAATCCATGGAAGAACGTGCTACTACTGTAAAAACGTAAGTGAATATCCACACACTTTATGTCTGTGCTGACCCACACATGCATTCATGGGAAGAGATATGATTCAAAACCTGAACCACCTTAGTATCTTGACAAGCACTTTGACTTAATTTCTTTGCTGTCAAAAGTAGATGAACCCTTGCAAGATTTGATATGCGTCTTGGACTAAATTGATCCAAAACACATATCAGAAGTACAGCAAAGTATTTTTGAGGCTCAGTTGCAGAAAGTGTAACATACGAATATACTGAGAGCCAATCAAATGCAGGTGATTATCAGGGCTCCAAGGCTGATTGTAAATTGAATCATGTCCCAAAGGTTGAATAAAACAAAACATGAATTCAGTGGGCTGTGAAAAGCAGAAAAATGCTGGTGAAACATTTTGAATTAACATAGGAGTACTAACTGAAACATGGAAAAGAATTGAAAGACTGTAGGGGCTATGTACTAAATTTAGCAACAAAGCGTCAACAAATATTTCTGTAATAAAATTAACTTCCAGATACCTGCAGTAGCAGATACAGTATTCAGTTCACTTAACACTGACTTAAGGTGTTACTAAACCCACAACAGTAAAATCAGTCTGTATATGCAGTAAAGCATACTTGTCATACTGTGGAACCTAAGGGGTTAATTCTCTGCATTGTGTAAAAAGGCTGTTTGATACTGTCTTCTCTGATCCTCCCCTTCTGCTACTGTCCCCAATCCATCTGCTGATAATACAGATTTCGAGGAGTCATTCTGCACATGCTCAGTTTAGTATGTATTGCTAGAGAGTTTTTTTTTTTTCTATGGGAGGGTGCATGTGATCAGCACAGGGCCAATTAGCACTATCCAGAGGGTTAGGGTTTATGCAGCCCTTATAGGACAATCAGAGCAGAATAATAACTCTTCCTACAACATTAACCAGTGCTCAACTGGCCACTGATAGAAGTCACAAGACTGCTATATACTACTGATGAGAAAAGGTATTTAGTGGTTTATATTTCCTAAAACAATTGCATTTCCATGTTCTGTGTACTGTGGGGAACCAGATATAGTGAATGCAGGGTCATGGGTTTAGTAACACTTTAAAATGCACTATTGCTCATATTATGGTCATTGGTGTATTTACATATTTGTAACAAGCAGTAAAAGATCTATACAATTAGCCACCCCTGACCGATTTAGCTGCAAAGAAATTTAGAGTCTGTAGTGATATTTGCAAATAAAGTCAGACCAAAACAGATTTGGTAAAGTATCAAGAAACCATCTCTGCCTTAGAAGAATACATTATTAGTACATTGCTCCTCCTGTACACATTACATCAATGGAATAAGAACCTCACAAAAATTAAGGAAACAGAAGAGAAGGAAATGTTGCATCGAAACTCAGCATAGCGAATGGCAGTATGTGTTGGTCTATGTCTTGTGTGCCTGCATCTTTAAGATAGGCTGAAGGACACATTTACACAAACCTCCCTAGAACTTAGAAAGTGGTATTGCAGGACAGAAGGCGTTAGCTAGAACTGTAGTTCCTTTGTATCATTCTACTGTTCTTACAATAAAAACAACAATTTTAGTAGTCCATGTTTTCCTGTGTAAGGAATGTCAACGATCCTTTGTATGTTTGTACATATAGTTTTCATGTGACTAAACCTATTGATGTGTGGTCAAATAAAGGCGACAGCGTCTTTTGCAAGCATACTTTGGCTTTTGATGTTGTGGCCTAAAGATTATGAAGGACTATGGCTTAAGCAAAGGACTCATAGAATACCATGAACAATCATAAGAAATACATGGCCAAACAGAAACAGCTAGAACCAGTGGAAAGAGCAAGGAGATGCAAACTATGGCAAAAAAACAGATATGAAAATGAAAGTTTGACACAGAGACATAGTGGCAGTGGCAGATTATTAGGTATACAACTGTTCCTTAAAATAAGATGACTAGATAAAGTGTTACAAACCCACAACAGTAAAATCAGTCTGTATATGCAGTAAAGCATGCTTGTTTCACTCACTGTGGAACATAAGGGGTTAATCCTCTGCATTGTGTAAAAAGGCTGTTTGGTCACTTCTCTGATCCTCCCCTTCTTTTGATCCTCCCCAACCCATCTGCTATAGTTACAGCAGCAGTGGCAAGACTGCACATGCTCTGTTTGGTGTGTATTGCTAGAGTTTTTTTTTTCTTTTGGGGAGAGTGCATGTGACCAGCACAGGGCCAATCAGCGCTGTCCAGACAGAGGGTCAGGGGTTATGCAGCCTCATAGGACAGTCAGAGGAGAATTAAAACTTCTCCTGCAAGATTAACCAGTGCTCAGCTGGGCACTGATAGAAGTCACAAGACTGCTACATACTGCTGATGAGAAAAGGCATTTAGCAGTTTATATTTACTAAAACTGCATTTCCATGTTCTGTGTAGTGTGGAAGACTGGATATAGTGAATGCAGGCTCATGGGTTTAGCAACACTTTAGGTCTAAAATAAATACATTGATGAGGATCAGATAAGAAACAAAAAATTATAAAATTGGCATTCCTTTTAATGCTAGAATTGATCTTTTTTTACGTTTTGTTCATAAAGAGATCATTAATAACTGGAATAATTTTGAAAAAAGATATAATTTTCACACTTAGCATTTTACGCCCTTTTTTTTTGTGGATCACTACAGAGGAATGACACAGAGAACAGAAAGAAAAGGAAACATTTTGGAAAGAAATCTCTAATAACAAGTATATGTGCAATCTGTTATTCAGTGTTAAGGAAACTGAAATAAACATGACATGAAGTGTATGATTGTGTATTCAACTGCACTGGTCCTGTTGAAATAGAGATATTGAGAAGAAAGGATCTAACATGCACCTTTATTATTTTTATACTCCTACCTATGAGTGGAAGCTCGTCCATGGTGATGCCCTGAGATTTGAGGTGCTTCTTGATGCAGGCCAGCCGCTGCACGTTAGGACCCCAGCGCCTACCAAGCTTGTGGATGTGTTGACTCTGTGTTACAAAGCGCATTTCATCGTTCAGCTTGCATTCGGGTCTCCAGTCTGGCGGAGGGATCACTGTACACATCCCATACTTCTCTACTCGGGCTCGGATGGACTCAATGTAGATCAGGGGATCGTGGAACTCCTTGGCAGAGGGTCGGAGGACAGGGATCTCACACATGGCTACACACCTGGCCTTCTCAGCATTTCTTTCTGGCTTAGAGTCCAGAGTTTTGTGCGAGGAATCTGTCTGTGAGGTAGAGCGATTTTCACAGCCAGCATCTTCTGTCTTACTGCGGGTTTGTGTAACTGATGTGATCTTGGCTGTTGAGGCCCGCTTTGGCCTGTTTCTCTCCAGCATCTTCTCTGGCACTTCTTTCTTTACATGTCCATTAAGCACCGGTTTCTCCGCCACATGCCTCTTGCTTCTGACTTCAGGTAAGCTGGCGGATACTTTAATTTTCTTTACCAAAGGCTGGGCCTTACTGGGGTGGTTTGCTTCCTCCAGACGTCTTTTTGAATTGCGCAGTCCTTCCCTTAACTGCCTTCCCTCCTCCCTAGTGCATGCCTTTTTGTTCAACTTGCCATTCATCTTAACACAGTTAATACCAGTGGCACAGTTGGGCTTGGATGTGGAAAGAGATAGCACCTGTTTACGAGTTTTTGCATTGCTGCTTTCTGTGGTCCCTGAGATTGTGTGGTGAACAGATGAACTGGTTTTGCTGTGATTCAGTTTGGTTGCCTTGTCCAGTTCTTTCTTGGCTTTGGTGTATGTGACAGTTCCCTTGGTCACCGTTGCAGTATACTTCACAGTTTTGGACGGTGAAGGTCTCACTTCTCTCGTCTTTTTGGCACCGACTGCATTAGAACTCGATGATGATAATCGAGTAATTCCATTCACCTTGGAAACCTTGAAAAATGTGAAGAGAAAAAAAAACACAGAAGGAAAATATGAATTAAACTGTTTTTCTTGGAACTGTTTACATTATGCTTTTTATGTAGTATTCATACTGCTGTGACTTTTTAGGAACTGAAGTTCTCCTTGTGTGTCTTAGACATACAGACATGTAAACAAAAAGGAATAATCTAATGGATTTTAAACACCAAGAGATATACAGCCAAGAATACATTTTCCTTGGCCTCATCTACTTAGAAAAGTTTAAAAAAAGAACTCCAGCCTTAAATATAACTTTTCTTCAGTTTCTAAAAGCAAATCAGATTAGAGCCTGTGGGGAGTCAATATCATGGAAGATTAAAGTGGATTGGTATGAGATAATGTGTCCCAAAAGAGAGACTGTTTATTCATTTGCACATTATAACACTGTGTTCAAGCCGAACGATCTATTGTGTTGTATATGGGCTCACTGTTGTCTATATATTTTTTCATTATTATTAGGTTTTATAGTATCTATTATAATCTTGAAGCTTGCACAATTTAAGATTTATGACATCATGCATGAGATATTTAGTCAGTAGTGTGTATGTGTATATATGTTGTGTGTGTGTATGTATATATATATATATATATATATATATACATACACACACACACACACACACACACACACACACACACACACACACATACATACACACACAGTATGTAACAGGCGTACACCCCTCACATTTTTGTAAATATTTTATTATATCTTTTCATGTGAAAACACTGCTGCAGAAATGACACTTTGCTACAATGTAAAGTAGTGAGAGTACAGCTTGTATAACAGTGTTAAGTTGCTGTCCCCTCAAAATAACTCAACACACAGCCATTAATGTCTAAACCGCTGGCAACAAAAGTGAGTACATCCCTAAGTGAAAATGTCCAAATTGGGCCCAATTAGACATTTTCCCTCCCTGGTGTCATGTGACTTATTAGTATTACAAGGTCTCAGGTGTGAATGGGGAGCAGGTGTGTTAAATTTGGTGTTATCTCTCTCACTCTCTCATACTGGTCACTGGAAGTTCAACATGGCACCTCATGGCAAAGAACTTCTGAGTATCTGAAAAAAAGAATGGTTACTCTACATAAAGATGGCATAGGCTATAAGAAGATTGCCAGGACCCTGAAACTGAGCTGCAGCTCGGTGGCCAAGACCATACAGCGCTTTATCAGGACAGGTTCCACTCAGAACAGGCCTCGCCATGGTCGACCAAAGAAATTGAGTGCACGTGCTCAGCATCATATCCAGAGGCTGTGTTTGGGAAATAGACGTATGAGTGCTGCCAGCATTGCTGCAGAGGTTGAAGGGGTGGGAGGTCAGCCTGTCAGTGCTCAGACCATAAACCGCACACTGCATTAAATTGGTCTGCATAGCTGTCATCCCAGAAAGAAGCCTCTTCTAAAGATGATGCACAAGAAAGCCTGCAAACAGTTTGCTGAAGACAAGCAGACTAAGAACATGGGTTACTGGAACCATGTCCTGTGATCTTATGAGACCAAGATAAACCTATTTGATTCAGATGGTGTCAAGTGTGTGTGGTGGCAACCAGGTGAGGAGTACAAAAACAAGTGTGTCTTGCCTACAGTCAAGCATGGTGGTGGGAGTGTCATGGTCAGGGGCTGCATAAGTGCTGCCGGCACTGGGGAGCTACAGTTCATTGAGGGAACCATGAATGCCAACATGTACTGTGACATACTGAAGAACAGCATGATCACCTCCCTTTGGAGACTGGGCCACAGGGCAGTATTCCAACATGATAACAACCCCAAACACCCCTCCAAGACAACCACTGCCTTGCTAAAGAAGTTGAGGGTAAAGGTAATGGACTGGTCAGGCATGTCTCCAGACCTAAACCCTATTGAGCATCTATGGGGCATCCTCAAACAGAAGGTGGAGGAGTGCAAGGTCTCTAACATCCACCAGCTCTGTGATGTCGTCATGGAGGAGTGGAAGAGGACTCCAGTGGCAACCTGTGAAGGTCTGGTGAACTCCATGCCCCAGAGGGTTAAGGCAGTGCTGAAAATTAATGGTAGCCACACAAAATATTGACACTTTTCGCCCAATGTGGACATTTTCACTTAGGGTTGTACCCACTTTTGTTGTCAGCGGTTTAGACATTAATGGCTGTGTGTTGAGTTATATTGGGGGGACAGCAAATTTACTTATACAAGCTATACCAGGGGTGGGAAAACTTTTTGACTTGAGGGCCGCAATGGGTTCATATATTGGACCCGGGGGCCGGACCAAGAGTAGATGAATGATGTGTATGTGTCATCCATAGTAAGTATAGTAATATTCCCCCATAGTAAGCATAGTAATTAATCCCCCATATAGTAATTCATCCCCCATATAGTAATTCATCCCCCATATAGTAATTCACCCCCCATATAGTAATTCATCCCCCCATATAGTAATTCATCCCCCCTATAGTAATTCATCCCCCATATAGTAATTCATTCCCCATATTAATTCATCCCCCATATTAAATTCATCCCCCATATTAAATTCATCCCCCATATAGTAATTCATCCCCCATATTAAGTCCCAAAGTCCCCCCTGTGTCAATTCACTTACCTTTGCTCCGCGCGTTCCTCTCGCCGTGTTCTCACGCCGTTCCGGTGTAGCATGAAAATCTGTCTCCTATGAGGATCTGTCCCCCTCGACGTATCTGCGCATGTGCCAGTTTCAGGCATTAGCAGCCGATCGGCGATCTCCGGCACATGCGTAGATACGTCGAGGGGGACAGATCCTCATAGGAGACAGATTTTCATGCTACACCGGTCTTCAGGGCGGACTGTGAGAGGAGCCTAGCGGGAGCCTAGCTCCGCGGGCCGGATTAAAAGGTCCGCCGGGCCGTATACGGCCCGCGGGCCGTAGTTTGCCCATTGCTGAGCTATACACTCACTACTGTAGCAAAGTGTCATTTCGTCAGTGTTGTCACATGAAAAGATATAATAAAATATTTACAAAAATGTGATGGGTGTACTCCCTTCTGTGAGATACTGTGTGTATATATATATATATATATACACACACACACACACACACACACACACACACACACACACACACACACACACCAGCATAGATTTCTGCTGCAAAGAGAATGTTTCAGATTTGAATAAAGTTATGGACAACTAACCAATTCCACACCCAAATCCTTTCTTGAGCTAAAATGAACTCACACTACCACCCCAGCTGTGTCCCACTCCCATTCCTTTCAGTGCTGGTCACCACAGATTTGAAAAGGGCTGCACAAACAGATAAAGAGATTTTTTTTTTTCAAAAAAGTAAACACTGGAGCAGGCCACAGCTGGAAGATGGAAATAGTTTGGCCTCATGAACACAGAGCATTATAACAGCCACTTTTAGGGGTGTCAGGCATTTCTAAAGGCGTGTTAAGTGCTTGAGCGTTAATTCAATTCAATTGCCAGAATAAATTATTATTCTGGCCAATGAAATAAATACCCAAGCACCTGATGCCTGTAAACGTGCCTAAACGCTTGTAAAAGTGTTAAGACATTATTATAAGCATCAGGCAATTTTTCTGTCAAAAACACTGCTGCCAAGAGGAGGAGCGTTTTTAAAACGTCCTATGTGCATGAGACCTTTAAGTAAAGGTAAGGCTTGGAAACAAGAAGAGGTACCATTGCAAAATAATGTAAGGAAGGCTAGAAGCAATAGCAAAGTACAAAAAAAAAATGTCCTAAACTTGCAGTTGCTACTTTTGATTAAATAAGGACAGGCATTTCTAAAAATAGAAATAGTTCTGAGAAACATTTTGGCAAATAGAACATTTAAGAAAAATGTAATAAACTACATACTTCTGAAGATGTTTCTGAAAAATGTTTATCATACCTTTCAGAATGCATACATTTAAATTGGTAAAGCGCTGCAGCACTGAAGAGTACATCTCTATCCATTCACTAACTGAATTGGTTAGTTGAAAGAATAGTATTTCCTGCAAGCAGTATAAAAAGCACAGTGGTGTTATGAATGTGGGTTGTGTAATCTGATCATTTGTGTAGAGAACATGTGATCAGGGAAGTTTATACTGGGTCACAGTAACTTAAGGGGAGATTCTAAATAATGAAGGCGTCCTATCTACTACCAGACTAGCCTGTCTGGCAAGGGGCGACACTACAAAAGTTTCCTGCAGTCTCACAGCTTATAATTATGTATGCCTGTCTCCACTATTAATAAATGCCAGACTGTCTCTTTGTCCACAAACAGCAGAATATTTATTTACTGCTCTGAGACTTTAAAAGCAGTGAGAGAAACTATCAATTTAAAAACTTTAATCTCTATTCCCCAACGGCATTATGTTTAAAGCAGTACATTAGGTGCATTACAGAGACAGAAACTTTAAATAAGACATTTTCTGCCTTGATCAATATAATAGCCACAAATACTTCTACTAACCAAAACCAGGTGATTCAAACTGAGCATTTGCTTAAAAATACACAAGTAAAGATTAGCGTGTACAAAACTGCATTCAAAAATCAGTATAGGCAGAGATACAGACAGCTGAAGATTATATATATATATATATATATATATATATATATATATACATATATACACACACACATACATTTTGACTTTTCCTGACTCCATCCAGTCAGACCTTGAGCCCTCCCACTGTCCTATGATATGATGGGTTGCCTCACTAACTAACAGAAAGGTTCAGGAGTTAGGAGTTGATGTCAAGCTCTGCTAAAAGACTACAATGTGCATTGTGGTGCCTTTCAATGCAAAATGGACCTCAGCTCAACATGTCTCTATGCATTTGCATTACAAGCACCGCAAAGCAAATACACAATGCTCTGTGCTTGGTGTCATGTGTGTATATGTAAGGTCTATTTTGTGCATTGACAGCCATGTGTGGAATCAAAAGCTGGAATCATACAATTTATGTCAGGTTTGCTTTAACTGCCTAAAAGTGTAGGATTACATTTATATTATGCTT